TATAAATGATACCATACACTGTTTGTCTTTCTATTTTTGGCTTATTTCACTTAGTATAATGTCTTCCTCGCTCATCCATATTGTTGCAAACGGAAGGATTTCCTTTGTTTTCATGGCTGAGTAATATTCCTTTGTATATATACACCACATCTTCCTTATCTATTTGGTCATTGATGGACACTTAGGTTGCTTCCATGTCTTGGATATTTTGAGATTTTGCTTGTGAATATCTAGTTTTCCCAACACCATTTGTTGAAAAGACTTTCCTTTCCCCATTGTCTATTCTTGGCGTCCTGATCAAATATGAGTTCACCATATATGTGTGGGTTTAATTTTGGGTTCTCTATTCTGTCTCATTGGTCTATATGTCTGTCTTTATGCTAGTACCAGACTGTTTTGATTAGAGTAGCTTGGTAATATATTTTGAAATCAGAAAGCCTGATGCCTCCAAGTTTGTTCTTTTTACTTAAGATTGCTTTGACTATTATGGATCTTTTGTGTTTCTATATAAATTTTAGGATTTTTTTCAATTTTTGTGAACAATGCCATTGAGATTTTGATGGGGACTGCATTGAATCTGTAGATAACTTTGAGTAGTGCAGACATTTTATCAATTTTAAGTCTTCCAGTCCATGAGCACAGATGTCTTTCCACTTGTTTGTGTCTTTTATTTCTTTCATCAAAGTTTTATAGTTTTCAGTGTAGAATAATTTCACTTCCTTAGTTACTTTTATATTCCTGTGTATTTTACTGCTTTTGATGTTGTTATAAATGACATTATTTTCTTAATTTCTCTTTCAGATAGTTTGTTGTTCATGTACAGAAATACATCTGATTTTTCTACATTGATTTTGTATTCTGTAAATTTACTGAATTTGAGTGTTAGTTCTAACAATTTTTTTGGTAGAGTCTGTAGGGTTTTCTACAAATAAGATTACGCAATCTGAATACAAAGACAATTTTACATCTTCCTTTCCAATTTGGATGACTTTTATTTCTTTTTCTTGCCTAATTGTGGTGACTAGGACTTCCAGTACTATGCTGAATAGAAGTGGCAAAAATGGGTATCCTTGTTTTGTTACTTATCCTAAAGGAAAAACTTTCAGATTTTCCCTGTTAAGTATGAAGTGGGCTTTTCTATATAACCTTTATTATCTTGAAGTAAATTCCTTCTACACCTTTTTGTTGAGAGATTTTATCATGAAATGATGTTGAATTTTGTAAAATGCTTTTTCTGCAACTATTGAGATGATAATGTGACTTTTATTCTTCACTCTGTTAAATTAGTGTATCACATTAATTTATTTGCATATATTGAATCATCTTTGCATCTCAGGGATTAATTTCACTTGGTCATGGTGTATGATCCTTTTAATGTGCTGTTGGATTTTGTTTGATAGTATTTTTTTGAGAATTTTTCCACCTATGTTCCTAAGAATATTGGCCTTTAGCTTTCTTTTCATGTGGTATCTGACTGGCTTTAGTCTCCTCCTCTTCTGGCATCCTCAAGGTTTCTATTTCTTTGTAGTTCAATCTTAGTAGGCTGTATATTTCTGGGAATTTATCAATTTCTTCTGGATTACAACTCGGTAAATTTTCTAAAAATCATTGAAACAAATTTTATTATACAAAGTTGCAAAAATGAAAGATTGTACCAGAAATCTAAACAAGTGCAATAAGTGAATAAAAAGAAATAAAGACTCCAAGTATTTAGAGTCTAGAACTCAATTTTTATTATTCATTGAAAATATTATGATTTACCTAAAATACCCAAGATAATATACAGACCAATTATAAGAATAAAAAAGTAATTTAGCAAAGTCATATATTGACTTTGCCATAGAAAAGTCAACCATATTTCTACATGGTAGAAAAAAGTGAATGTGAAATTGAAATGGTTACAACATTTTTAAGTTTCACACAAATATGAAATATCTAGGGAACGGCTGAACAAAAGACGTTTAAGTCCTCCTAAAACTACAAAATATATTAAAAGAAAATAAGAAGATACAAATAACTGAAGATATATAACATGTTCCCAGTTGGAGATTAAATATTTTTAAAATGGCAGTTCTCTCGAAGCTGTTTTATATTTTGAATACAATACCAAATGAAATATCAATAGTTATGTTTTGTTTTTAATTGTTAAGTGTAATCTAAAATTCAAAACAAAATGCAAGACAAAAAAAAATAGCCAAGATAACTTGTATTTAGTCATTTATTTTATGACAAATACAATACTGCAGTGGATTGGAGATAAGATGGAATTTTTAACAAACTGTTATATATCTATTGGCTATCCATATGAAAGAAAATTAATTTATGTCTGTTTCTTAAAACATACACCAAAAATGAAGCCAGATGGACTTTATATACACATACAAAAGGCAAAACAAGAATTTTTTTAATATAAAAACTTAGAAGAATATCTTCAAGATCTTTTGGAAGACAAAAATTTCTTAAATAGGGCACAGAGTTACCCATATATGGAAAATAATTTTTGAATATGGCTATATCAAGATGTATAAACACTGTTCGTCAAAAGAAGGATTAAGATCATGAAAAAGCAAGCCACATAATGAAAGAATAAATTCTCAATACATATGTCCAGCAAAGGGCTTATATATAGGATACATAAAGAAATCTTAGAAACCAATAAGAAAAAACAGACCACCCAATAAAATAGCAGCAATTGACTAGGAATAGACCATTTACAAGAGAGAATACCTAAATGATGAATAAGCATAGCCAAAGCTGCTAAACTACATGAGTTATCAGACAAATGCAAATTAAAGCACCAATGTAGTAGTTCTACAAACCCATGAGAATGTGTACAGTGGAAAAGATGGACAGTATAAGTGTTGGCGAGTAAGTGGACCACACCTTTTTATATATTACAGGAAGGAGTGTAAACTCATATGAGCACTTTGTCTACCTTTTTAAAATTTATCTAATAATTAATTGAAATATACATAAATTTTCATCCAAAAATTCCATTACTAGTGGCCAGCCTGATGGAATAGTGGTTAAGTTCACTCTCTTCACTTCAGTGGCCTGGTGTTTGTGGGCTCGTCTCCTGGGCACAGACCTATGCACCACTCATCAAGCCATGTTGTGGTGCCATCCATATGCAAAGTAGAAGACAACTGGCAAAGATGTAGCTCAGGGACCATCTTCCTCAAGCAAAAAGAGGAAGAATGGCAGCAGATGTTAGCTCAGGGCCAATCTTTCTCACCAAAAAGAAAAAAATTCCATCACTAGATATATACAAAAGCCGCAAACTGGGGACGACCAAACATCAGTCCAAACTAGAATGGATGAATAGGTTAAAGAATATAGACACAATTTAAAACTATAAAGCCATGAGAAGGAGTTAACCATAACTTTACAAAATGGAAACACAAAAGAGGACATGCTCAATGCTTTATATATAAAACAGTCCAACTGGCCAATTGTATTTGAAGGCAGGATAATGGCAATAAAGCAATCTGATTAAACACATGATTCTTTAAGTCACACACGTCTGAGATTAAGTCTTGAGGTGGCTACTTAATAGATCTCCCTGGTCTTTAGTTTGATTCTCTGTAATTATGGAAAATATTAACACTCTTATCAGAGGATTGTGTTGAAGAGTAATAAATATACATTTAAATGCTTAATGAATACCAGCTGTGATAGCTGCTCAACTCTTTATTTATTTACTTTTTTAGTGTTTCTTTTTTTTTTACTTTTTTGTTTATTGCAGTAACATTGGTTTATAACATTGTATAAATTTCAGATGTACATCATTATACTTCTATTTCTGCATAGATTACATCATGTTCACCACCCAAATACTAATTACAACCCATCACCACACACATGTGCCAAATTATCCCTTTCGCCCTCCTCCCTCCCCCCTTCTCCTCTGGTAACCACCAATCCAATCTCTGTCTCTATGTGTTTGTTTATTGTTGTTATTATCTACTACTTAATGAAGGAAATCATACGGTATTTGACCTTCTCCCTCTGACTTATTTCACTTTGCATAATACCCTCAATGTCCATTCATGCTGTCACAAATGGCTGGATTTCATCGTTTCTTATGGCTAAGTAGTATTCACCTCTTTAGTAGACATAGCAGTTTGGTAACTTCCAAATTTCTCACACATGAAGTAAATGAAGTTTAACGGTAATATGAAAATTCATATTAATATGTGGTGGTATCAGTAGCAGATAGAGAGGGTTATAAAGAAAAACTGGAGATTAAAACAACTGCTTAGAGCCCCAGGGAAGTGGGCTTCAAATTCTCGCAAGCTTGCAGTGAACATCTTCAGTGTATAGACAGGCTTGCAATTTTAGAGCAGAGAATTAATACACAGAATTCAGAAGGCAGGTCAGGAAAAAAGAACAATCGGGAAAACATAAAGATATGAAGAAATAGAAAATGAGACCAAGAGAGGAATGGATAAGAGTTAAAGGATTATCAATAAGAGCTGGCCAAGTTACAGCTGTTGAGGGAGATACATTTTATAGTCCCCATAAAAGCCCATGACAATGAGATTGAATTAACAACACCAAGGGGTGTCCTTGGTCCTGAACATTTTCTGAAGAGCATGTTTCATATCCTTATTCCAGAGGCTGTAGATGAAGGGGTTCAGCATGGTGGTGACAACAACGTACATCACGGAAGCAATTATGTCCTTGTCTTGGGACTTGCCTGATGAGGAGAAAAAGCAAACACCTGCAATTGTCTCATAGTATAAAAACACTACGAAGAGGTGGGAGCCACGTGTAGACAACACTTTTCAGATTCTCTTGATGGAAGGGAGCTTCAGGATGATGACTGCCGTGAGGATATATGAGCCCAAGGTAGCACTCAATGGCAGAATGAAAATTAGTCCTCCCTCAAAATGAGGATAAGCAGCTTATTCTGGGGGTTGTCTGAGCAGGAGGACTAGACCACAACAGCAAGATCATAAAAGAAGTTGAGGATGAGAATCCCTGCACAGAAGGACAACTAGTCTACAAGGAGGGTATGCAAGAGAGCATGGCCACAAGAGGAGAACCAGGAGCCAGCCACCAGGATGATGCAAAGTTCACCCCTCATGATGGTGGTGTAGTGAAGTGGGTGACAGATGGCCACATACCTGTCACAAGTCATCACTGCGAGAAGAAAGCCATAAGTACAACTAAAGTTAATGAAATACACTTGTGAAATGCATGCCACATTAGGGATGGATTGATCCTGACTACACATGTTTATCAGCATCCTAGGAACTATAATAGATGAAAAGGAGATGTCAGTGAAGGCCAAGGGAGACATCAGTGAAGGCCAAGTGGCTGAGGAAGAAGTACATGAGGGTATGGAGGCAAGAGTCCAGCCTGATGAGCAGGATGATGAGCAGGTTCCCCACCACCATGGTTGGGTACATGCCCAGGAACAAGGCAAAGAACATGCCCTGCTGCTCTGATGGAATGGGTACCCCCAGGAGGAGGAACTTGGACACCTTGCTCTGGTTCTCAGGCCTCATACTGCTCTTCTATATGACGGGGATGAACAAGGTTTGGGAAGATCAGGAACCTAGAAAAGATGATCAGAACCATCACATTTCATATGCCCATTCTCTGGGAAAACAATGAATTTTTAGCTACACTCCTATTACTTTCTCATACCTGTGGATGCATGCACCTTCCCTCGATCATGATCTGGTTCCATGAAAACATCATATCCAAAAGGAGTCAACAAGACCTCTTTGCACAGAAGCAAGAGATTGTTCACTGCTTCATTGAATAATTATTTATTGAACATTGAGTCTGAATTTGGACCTCTACTAAACACTGAGATTGCAGCAGTGAACAGAAAGGCAAGGTCCCTGCCCTCTGTGAGTGTAGATCTTAATGAGCATAGAGAGATAATTCGTTACACCAAGACAGAGTCCAATTGTAAAAATTCACTGTGGCAGAAATCGCAGGTGATCCTCAGCAAACTGGGATCAGTTGTTTCTGCTTAAAGTAATGTAAGACTTCATTGCTGAGGTGGCCTTTTTGGAGATTTGTCACACTCCTCCTGTGAACCTGCCTGGGTCCCATTGACCTACATCTGTAAACTCATGGTCACTCTAGAAGTGGGTGGTCATTTACAGCTGCTTGATGGCAGAAAACCTCCCAAACCAGAATAGTCCACAAAGTATCTTTCATAAGAATGGTGAATGTTTTGGTAAACATTTGTGTACTAGGCTAAGGACTTTATCTACACTTCCTGATTAGATCCACACATTAGCCTTACATTCACAGATTTTAAAAAAATGTTCACAGCTGCACAAAGAATTTGTGTTTTTTCACCCATTATTAAGCTAAAAGCTTTTAAGAAATAGAAACATAAATGATATCAATTCCATAGGCCCACAACAGTAAAGTAGGGGACAAAAACGGCACACACACACAAATGTGTGTGTATATATGTTTCTGTTATAAACATGATATATAATGTACATAATATATATAACTTGATATATATATAATGCCATTTTCTGTAATTTAAAAATTACCAAGTATTATCTGCTTCATGTGCTTCAATCTGATATGACTGTGTGATCAGTGCACATGCTCTTAACCACTATACATGGAAACTGTCTTTTTGTTGGTCAGGGGAGCCAAGCACCCTATATTATTTTATAGATGCAAGGAAGCCAAAGTTGTCCCAAATTTTCTTACTCCCCTGTCTAGATAATTTCATGCATTCATATGTATATACTTTCCAACTGACAAAAAATTCTCACATGCTTTAACTTCTATTTAAATAATAAATATTTACTGAGAGCCTGTAAGGCTCACAAGGCAAGAATAATTCTTTCCATTTTATAGATGTGGAAACTGAGGCCAAGGAGTTAAGCAGTTTTCCCAAGATCCCACTGCTATCTGATGGTGATTCTGAACTCTAACTTCACGAATCATGATTCTTAGAGGTTTATTTGCCTGGAACATTTAGTGTAAGTAAAGAGTTACAAAATTCCAAGTGACTCAGTCATACTTAGTTATATGAAAATGATAGCAGATACTTTTCAGGAAATAGGGAGTCACCTGGACTTTGATTATCTCAATCAGTGGTCCCCCAGAAGGAGAGAACTTAATGAAATATTTGAGGTCATGAGGACAAATCAGATACCCACAAACACACATGCATAGCCAACCACACACTCACTACAACAAGCAGCACTCACACTTCCATTACTGAGAGGCGTGCTTCAGCCCCTTCTGACCCACACCCTTCCTGGGGGAAGGCAATCAGCCTGGGGCAGTAAAGCCCACAAGCACACAGGCAGATCTATCACCAAGTTCAGATTTCCAGCTCCCTCAGACCTATGCTTATGACTGGTGACCTCAGAGACCTTCTGCTCCAGACTGTTGCCAGTATCCTCAGCTTCTCTTCAGGAGATTCAGTATCTAGACAATTTGAAGAAATATCTGTGGCCTCCTAGCTCCTACAGACTTTCATATTCCTTAACCAGCTCCAGAGAAATGGGTCAAATGTAATGTTTTAATTACCAACGAGAGGACTGAATCAAACTTCCCAAGTTTCTGGCTAATTTCTTACTCTCCATCGGGGAGCTGTGTGTCTATAAGCCAGAGGGACTGGAGTCCCAGGAGATGGTCTTCCTGATGCCAGTGATGCCCTGGACTTCTTTTGTCTTGGGCATGATTCCAGCTTAACATCCATTGGTGATTCTTACATGAAAAATTTATTGTAAATGTGGTGGCCAAATAGCGATTTTCTAATTCTATCATTTCTTCTACATGTATCAGTTGTTTTGTCTTGTTGCGTCCTGGTTCCACTCTAGAATCAGCCACTTTTCTAAATAATACCAGCCCTTTTAGGGGAGACTGGTAAAGAGCAAATTTGGCATTAGATGTGTTCATTTCTTTCAAGGATTCTAAATGGTGTCAGAGCACACTGCTAGGAAATAGATATAAAAGAAACACAGGAAGTAGACACTACAAACTCATAAACTAAAGGAATGGTTACCCATAGGAGGTGGTCAGGGGTGGGTCAGAAAGATGGGAAGAGTATAGATATTGACACATACAACATATAAATTTCAGTCTATTTTAACATTTAAAAAACCATAGTTCAAGTTGATATCTTCAATTCCAGTTTGACAGCATAAAGTTCTCTCCAGCCTCTCCTTTTCCATGCCGATTGGTGCCTTTCCTGATAGTGAGGAGTCATCTCTTTTCCACAATATGTTTACTTATTTGTTGAATCTTTGAATAAATGTTAAGTAATTTCAGAATCTTGAACTCATACCACTGTTAATGACTACTGACTGCAGCTCAAAAACTATGTTTAGTTTTTTTTTCTTTATTATGAGATTATATAGACAAAATTCTGTGTTCAAGAATTACTTAGGTTAGTTAATTTATTTTGCCCTTTAGTCTAATAATGGGATTAATTTGCAGTGTGGTTAGGTTCATTTGTCTTCTTTTATTCTATTTTCCTTTATTCTCCTCCCTCTTCTATTTATTTTTTATTCTGTAAAAGATAACTTAATCAAAACCATACAAATAAATACACTCATCTCCCTATCTTTTCTACCCTGTTCTCACCGACCTCACATAGGTAAGCAATCTCGTTAGTTTCTGATTTACTCTTTTTGCATTTCTTTTTGCTCAAATGGGCAGGTACATATATAATTTACTTCCCCATCATTTTTACAAAAAATGTAGCATGCTATACTTATTTTTTTAAACATTGCTTTTTTCCATTTAACAGTATATCCTGCAAATCCCTCCATATTGGTTCATAGATATCTTTAGCATTATATTTTGACAGCTGCAAAGTACTCAACTGCATTGATGATCCACAGAGGTTCCTTTTGGAATCCTTGGATGAGATAGTGGTGATAAATGTACTAAATGCCATTGAATTGTATACATCAAATTGTTAAAATGGTAAATTTCATGTTATGTATATTATACAACAATAAAAAGCATTTTTGAAGATAAGTAAAAAGTAATCTCTAAATAAGACACAAAAAACAATTATAAAATGAAAATAAAATATGATTAGTAAGTTAAAAAGGGGAATGGAAAAACAAAATATGTATTTAACTTATCAAAGGGGAGAAAGAGAAGACAGAATAAATCTAAAACAGATGTCTTAAATAGAAAATATATAGTAATATGGAAAATATAAATTCAAATATATCATTATTGCGTTAGATGTTAATAGATCAAATTCTCCAGAAATATATTGATCGTCAGTCTCCATAAAAAGAGCAAAACTGAACTTTACTCTGTTAAGAACAGAACCTCAAAAATATAAGGACATAGACAATTTTAAAGAAGAGAGATGGAAAAGAACTATCATGGAAACACTAACAAAAAGAAAACTAGTATATCTATACTAACATAAAAACAAGTAGATGAGATGTTAAGGTAGGAACCATTGTTAGAGATAAAGAGAAATATCTCCTAACTATAATTATAATCTACTAATTATAAATACAGTGGTGTGCTGTTAAAAGCATGAAAAATTGTATTTTCTCTCCCTCTTTTTTTTACCATGCTTTGCTTTGTAGCATTTTCCAATTTCCATGGTGCCATTATTCCCATTATGGCTGATTTCAATCTACCAATATGATGCCATTGAATGTGTAGTTGGAAGAGATGTGCACAAACAGCCTGAAGCTAATGCAACCCACCTTGAGAAAACACTACATAAAAGAATGAGTCCTAGGGGCCAGCCTGGTGGTGTAGTGGTTAAGTTTGAATGTTCGGCTTCCTGGGCCAGGCGTTCATGGGTTTGGATCCAAGTGCAGAACTATATACCGCTTGTAAAGCCACGCTGTGGCGGCATCCTATATACAAAATAGAGGAAGACTGGCACAGATGTTAGCTCAGCGATGATCATCCTCACCAAAAAAAAAAAAAAAAAAAAGAATGAGTCCACCAGGAGCTGATTATGATGATAAATATGTATGTCCTCAATAACATAGTATAAGAAATACATAAGCAAAACTGACATATCAAGAAGGAGAGAAAGACAAATCCACAATTATAATTGTGAGACTTTTTTTTCCATAAGATTTTGCACATATAAGAGATTATGAACAAGCAGAAGAAATTGATTTGGGATTAAGAATATGTAACATCCCAAGTAACAAATTTGATGTAGTTGACATATTAACAACACTATAAATGATAGCAGAATGCATATTCTTTTAAAGTTACATGAAGTTGTCAACCATACAATAATTTGAGACACATCTCACTGTGCTCATGACTGCAATAAGAGGATTTAATGATTGTCACTTAAAGAAGTTAGCCCTATTGACAAATATTTCTAGGGCCTGTTTTATATCTCTATTCTTCAGGCTATAGATGAAGGGGTTCAGCATGGGGGTAACCGCCGTATACATGACGGAAGCAATTATGACTCTGTCACTCAAGCCCCATGATGAGGAGAAAAAGTAAACACCTGCAAGTGTCCCATAGTATAAAGACACCACAAGGAGATGGGAACCACAAGTAG